TTTGGAAATTAAATAAAAAAGGAAGTTTAATCGAAAAGTAAATTGAATAAAAATGGAAGTTGAATAAAAATAAAAACATCAGAATGAGAAGTCAGCAAATGGAAATTCAATCCAAAAACCACTATACCTTAACGATCTAATTGGAAATTAAATAAAAAAGGAAGTTGAGTAGAAAAGAAACTTGACTAAAAAAGGAAGTCAAATAAAAATATAACTGGAATTTGAAGAAAATTAAAAATGGAAGTTCATTCAAGAAACCACCATACCTTAACGATCTATTTGGTAATTAAATAAAAAAGGATGTTTAATAGAAAAGTAAATTGAATAAAAATGCAAGTAGAATAAAAATAAAAACGAAATTTACATAAAATTAAAACCGGAAGTTCAATCCAGAAACCACTATACCTTAACGATCTACTAGGGAATTAAATAAAAAATGAAGTTTAGTAGAAAAATAAATTGAATAAAAACGGAAGTTGAATAAAAATAAAAATGAAAGTCGCATAAAATTAAAACGGAAGTTTAACCCAAAAACCACTATACCATAACGATCTATTTGGAAATTAAATAAAAAAGGAAGTTGAGTAGAAAAGAAACTTGAATAAAACAGGAAGTTAAATAAAAATAATAATGGAAGTTGCAGAAAATTAAAAATGGAAGTTCGTTCCAGAAACCACTATACCTTAACGATCTATTTGGAAATTAAATAAAAAATGAAGTTCAATAGGAAAGTAAATTGAATTAAAATGGAAGTAGAATCGAAATAAAAAGGAAAGTTGCATAAAATTAAAAATGGAAGTTCAATCCAGAAACCACTATACCTTAACGATCTACTAGGAAATGAAATAAAAAATGAAGTTCAGTAGAAAAGTAAATTGAATAAAAATGGAAGTTGAATAAAAATAAAAAAGATTGTTGCAGAAAATTAAATATGGAAGGTCAATTCAGAAACCACTTTACCTTAACGATCTATTTGGAAATTAAATAAAAAAGGAAGTTTAATAGAAAAGTAAATTGAATCAAATTCGAAGTTGAACAAAAATAAAAATGATAGTTGCAGAAAATTAAATATGGAAGTTCAATCCAGAAACCACTATACCTTAACGATCTATTTGGAAATTAAATAAAAAAATAAGTTTAATAGAAAAGTAAATTGAATAAAAATGGAAGTTGAATAAAAATAAAAAAGGAAGTTAAATAAAAATAAAAATGGAAGTTGCAGAAAATTAAAAATGGAAGTTCATTCAGGAAACCACTATACCTTAACGATCTATTTGGAAATTAAATAAAAAAGAAAGTTTAATAGAAAAGTAAATTGAATAAAAATGGAAGTTCAATAAAAATAAAAATGAAAGTTGCAAAAAATTAAATATGGAGGTTCAATCCAGAAACCACTATGCCCTAACGATCTATTTGGAAATTAAATAAAAAAGGAAGTATAATAGAAAAGTAAATTGAGTAAAAATGGAAGTTGAATAAAAATAAAAAGGAAAGTTGCAGAAAATTAAACATGGAAGTTCAATCCAGAAACCACTATACCTTAACGATCTACTAGGAAATTAAATAAAAAATGAAGTTTAGTCGAAAAGTAAATTGAATAAAAATGGAAGTTGAATAAAAATAAAAATTAAAGTCGCATAAAATTAAAATGGAAGTTCAATCCAAAAACCAGTATACCTTAACGATCTATTTGCAAATTAAATAAAAAAGGAAGTTGAGTAGAAAAGAAACTTTAATAAAAAAGGAAGTTAAATTAAAATGATAATGGAAGTTGCAGAAAATTAAAAATGGAAGCTCATTCCAGAAACCACTATACCTTAACGATCTATTGGGAAATTAAATAAAAAAGGAAGTTTAATAAAAAAGTGAATTGAGTAAAAATAGGAGTTGAATAAAAATAAAAATGAAAGTTGCATAAAATTAAAAATGGAAGTTCAATCCAAAAACCACTATACAATAACGATCTATTTAGAAATTAAATAAAAAAGGATGTTGAGTAGAAAAGAAACTTGAATGAAAAAGGAAGTTAAATAAAAATAAAAATGAAAGTTGCAGAAAATTAAATAAGGAAGTTCAGCCCAGAAACCACTATGCCTTAACGATCTATTTGGAAATTAAATAAAAAGGAAGTTTAATAGAAAAGTAAATTGAATAAAAATGGAAGTTGAATAAAAATAAAAGTGAAAGTTGCAGAAAATTAAACATGGAAGTTCAATCCAGAAACCACTATACCTTAACGATCTACTAGGAAATTAAATAAAAAATGAAATTTAGTAGAAAAGTAAATTCAATAAAAATGGAAGTTCAATAAAAATGAAAATGAAAGTCGCATAAAATTAAAACGGAAGTTCAATCCAAAAACCACTATACCTTAACGATCTATTTGGAAATTAAATAAAAAAGGAAGTTGAGTAGAAAAGAAACTTGAATATAAAAGGAAGTTAAATAAAAATAAAAATGAAAGTTGCATAAAATTAAAAATGGAAGTTCAATCCAAAAACCTCTATACCTTAACGATCAATTTGGAAATTAAATAAAAAAGGAAGTTGAATAGAAAAATAACTTGAATAAAAATGGAAGTCGAATAAAAGTAAAAATGGAAGTTGCAGAAAATTAACAGCTAAAGTATGTTCAGGTGACCAAGGTGGCGGATTTTTCCTTAACCTGGTATAAAGAATGTTAGCATCTGCAGACAGATTATGATAGTAGTCTCTAACATAGTTAAGACTGCCTAAAAATCTCTGTAACTGAGTTTTATCTTTAATTTCATCAGGAAATTTAGAAGCAAACTCCATACTACGGTTAATAGGTATAATACTACCATTGGAAATATTATGACCTAAATATCTGATAGTGGTTTGAAATAACTGCATTTTTGGGACAGAAATAACCAAACCATTTCTGATAATAACATTCTTCAAAATATTAAGATGCTTAATATGCTGGTCAATTGATGAGGAAAAAATTAAGACATCATCAATGTAAGATAAAGTAAATTCTGTATACGGATTAAAAATATCATTCATGATAGGTTAGAATTCTGATGGAGCATTTTTTAACCCAAATGGCATGACATTCCATTCGTAATGCCCAAAGGGTGCTGTAAAGGCTGTTTTATAGCGATCCTGTTCTGTAATTTGAACTTGCCAATATCCTGATTTAAGATCAAATTTAGAAAAAATAATATTTATCCGCAGATGCTAACATCCTGTATACCAGGTTAAAGATGAATCCTCCACCTTGGTCTCCAGAACATACTTTAGCTGTTCAAAAAATTAAAGCTAAAGTCCAACAGCTACCTTGTTTAAATTTATTGATGGCCTTCCTACCCTCTTCTAGGGCTTGGATTAACTGGTTTTTAATGTCTGGATCAAGGTTTAATTCATTAACCTTAGATTTAGCTTTAGATCTACACCTATTAGTTTATAGCACTTAACTTCTGATTTAGATTTACCTTTGGGTTTACTGGTAGATTTCTTCGGATAAAACTTCTTAGTAGGTTTCGGATGGCTTGTCTTTTGATAAGACTTCTTTCTGTAAGGTTTAGTGGATTTTCTATGGGATATCTTCCTGGTTTTGTTAGGATATTTGATTCCAGGTTCATAAGCAAACTGGTCACAAAATTCTTATTTATCCAATTTTGATTTTGATATTGAATATATTAAAGGAGAAACTAACTCTTTGCCTGACTTTTTGACCCGTGAATATTTGCAGAAATCAGCAAATGACCAGTAGAGGCCAAAGAGGTCGTGTTAAGTTTTGTTGTTTCATTTGATACTGGAGTTTGAGGTCATTACACAAAGAAAATCTGATCTAATTCTTTGGTATACGGTTGGGTGATAAATTCAAAAGTAACTGTTTTTCCTTGTAATTGGGAATAAATACCTGTTGAATCAATTTTCTGGATAGGCATTAAAAGACAAAGAAAAGGTGTGCCTAAAATAATATTTGTAGCAAGATTTCTGACTAATACAAAAGATGTGGGAAGGCAGAGATCTTCATTACAAATATAAGCTTCTGGAATTTTATACCTGATCTGGAGAGAATTTCCACTTGCACTGGTAAGACTTTGGGTAGTTTTTGCAAAATACCTGGTCGGAACTATACCTTCTTGGATACAGTTCATATCTGCTCCACTATCAACTAAGGCAATTGCATCCTTAATGATAAAATCCGGTTTAATCATAAAAGAAATTTTTATGTACCATTTCTGAAAAGTAACCTGATTAACAAGTAATAAATAAGGAGTTGAGGATTCTGGTTCTTGCTTATTAAAATCAAGTTTTTGTTCAGTTTCTTCTGTTTTCTGTTTAGGAATTTGAGTATGAAGATATTTAATATCTTTGATAGCGGCTGCACTTGCAGTTTGCAAGTGTTTAACTTCTGTTTTAAGGATATTAATTTCCATTTTTAAATCCTGGAGGGTAGTAGGCTGTTCTACTATGGATTTTGTCTGGATTCTGTTAATGACTGTTTGAAGATTATAAGAATAATCTGGTATAGGAGGGATTTCTGTTGTTGCTTGTTGGTGTTCATAACACATCTTTAAATATTTTATTTTTATTTCTGGATCTTGGATCTGGTCTGCAACAGCAAGCATATCCTTTTGAGTGTCTGTTAAAACATTAACACTACTTGGCTCTCCTAAGTGTAAACCATTCATTTCCACTATGGATTTCCAGTAATTAATTTATGATATTTGTTCCTGATTGGTACTACAGGGACATGGTTCTTCTGGATCATCTTCATCGGAGGAGGAAGAGTATAACTGGTTAAGCTCATCATCAGAAGGAATTTCATCTTCTGTTGAAATTTCTTCAGCTTCTAGGGCTTGGATTAACTGGTTTTTAATGTCTGGATCAAGGTTTAATTCATTAACCTTAGATTTAGCTTTGGATCTACACCTATTAGCATAATGTCCTGTTTGGCCACATTTATAGCACTTAACTTCTGATTTAGATTTACCTTTGGGTTTACTGGTAGATTTCTTCGGATAAAACTTCTTGGTAGGTTTCGGATGGCTAGTCTTGTGATAAGACTTCTTTCTGTAAGGTTTAGTGGATTTTCGATGGGATATCTTCCTGGTTTTGTTAGGATATTTGATTCCAGGTTCATAAGCAAACTGGTCACAAAATTCTCCTAATTCTTTTCTTCCTGTTAAGTTTTGGTGTTTCATTTGGTACTGGAGTTTAAGGTCATTGCATAAAGAAAGACCTTCATCTGTAACAATGGACACAAGTTGGCCATAAGTATACTGCTCATAAGGAATAGACATCCGGTCATGGCGATCCCGAAGTTTTTTCCGGACACGTTCGGCAAAGAGGGTATGAAGGCCATCAATAAATTTGGCTTTCCAATGAGTACTGTTAGCATCGGAGCGTTGGGTAACCTTAAGAAGGAAAACATCCTTATACCAACGGAAATGGGTTAAGGAAGGACAACGCAGATTCTGGAGGAGCTCACGGCCACGGTCCTGAGTAGAGGTACTGGTGCCAACAAAATGGTAAATGATAGTCTGTATAAGGGTATAAACAGCATCAGACTGTTGGACTTGCTGGTTAGTAGTGGGATCAAGTTCAAGCTTGATAGCAGTGAGGATTTCTGTTTGTTGGAGGGGAGTCATAATATTATCCCACCATCCTTTAAGAATACCGGTAAAGCCATTAATAATAAACTTAGCTATGGCCTGATCATTATTACTGTATTGGCGACAAACAGTAGCATACATCATCATTTGATGTAGCTTTTTGTAAATACCAAATTCTGATTCACCATCAATATTCCATTCATACTTTCATTTTTCTTTTTATTCCACTTCCATTTTTATTCAATTTCCTTGAGTATGAAGATAGTTTAGCTTGTTTACAGATGAGGGTTCCTGAAAGTTCAATTGAATATTTTGAATTTGTTCTGGAGTTAGGGTATCCTGATCAAGATTGGTTTCAGCTCTGAGCATGTGGATCTAACCCTCGGACACTTATTCGGACCCTCTTGCACGATGGCCGATATGTAATTATGGTGTTTAGTTTCCATTTCTTATGCATTATGGTTCAAACTCTCGGACACTTATTCGGACCCTCTTGCATGATGGCAGATACGTAATTATAGTGTTTAGTTTCCATTTCTCGAACATTAGGATTCGAGCACTCGGACACTTATTCGGACCTTCTTACATGATGGCAGATATGTAATTAGGGTGTTTATTTTCCATTTCTCATTCATTAGGGTTTAAACACTCGGACACTTATCCGGACCCTCTTGCATGATGGCGAATATGTAATTATGGTGTTTACTTGCCATTTCTCGTGCATTAGGGTTTAAACACTCGAACACTTATACGGACTCTCTTGCATGATGGCAGATATGTAATTTTGGTGTTTACTTGCCATTTCTCATGCATTAGGGTTTAAACACTCGGACACTTATTCGAACCCTCTTGCATGATGGCAGATATGTAAATATGGTGTTTATTTGCATTTTCTCATGCATTAGGGTTTAAACACTCGAACACTTATTCGGACCCTCTTGCATGATGGCAGATAAGTAATTATGATGTTTACTTGCCATTTCTCATGCATTAGGGTTTAAAAACTTGGACACTTATTCGGACACTCTTGCATGATGGCAGATGTGTAATTATGGTGTTTACTTGGAATTTCTCGAGCATTAGTATTCGAACATTCGGACAATTATTCAGATCCTCTTCCATGATGGCCGATATTTAATTATGGTGTTTACTATCCATTTCTCATGCATTAAGGTTTAAACACTAGGACAATTATTCGGACCGTCTTGCATGATGGCAGATATGTAATAATGGTGTTTATTTGCCGTTTCTCACGCATTGGGATTTAAACCCTCGACACTTATTCGGACCCTTCTGCAAGATCGTAGAGATGTAATTATGGTGTTTTGTTGCCATTTCTTATGCATTAGGGTCCAAACTCTCGGACACTTATTCGGACCCTCTTGCATGACGGCAGATACGTAATTATAGTGTTAACTTTCCAATTCTCGAGCATTACGATTCGAGCACTCGGACACTTACTCGGACCCTCTTGTATGTTGGCAGATATGTAATTATGTTGTTTATTGGCCATTTCTCATGCATTAGGGTTTAAACATTCGGACAGTTATTCGGACCCTCTTGCATATTGGCAAATATGTAATTATGGTGTTTACTGGCCATTTCTCGTGCATTAGGGTTTAAACACTCGGAAACTTATTCGGCCCCTCTTGCATGATGGCAGATATGTAATTATGGTGTTTACTTCCCATTTCTCATGCATTTGGGTTTAAACACTCGGACACTTATTCGAACCGTCTTGCATGATGGCAGATATGTAATTATGGTGTTTACTTGCCATTTCTCATGCATTTGGGTTTAAACACTCAGACACTTATTTGGACCTTCTTGCACGATGGCAGATATGTAATTATGGTGTTTACTTGCCATTTCTCGAGCATTAGGATTCGAACACTCGAACACTTATTCGGACCCTCTTGAATGATGGCAGATATGTAATTATGGTGTTTACTTGCCAGTTCTCGTGCATGAGGATTCGAACACTCGGACACTTATTCGGACCCTCTTGCATGATGGCAGATATGTAATTATGGTGTTTATTTTCCATTTCTCAAGCATTAGGGTTTAAACACAAGAACACTTATTCGGACCATCTTGCATGATGGTAGATAAGTAATTACGGTGTTTACTTACCATTTCTCAGGCATTAGGGTTAAAAAACTCGGATACTTATTCGAACACTCTTGCATGATGGCAGATATGTAATTATGGTGTTTACTTGCCATTTTACGAGCGTTAGGATTCGAACATTCAGACACGTATTCAGACCCTCTTGCGTGGTGGCAGATACGAAATTATGATGTTTATTTTCCATTTCTCATGCGTTAGGGATTAAACACTAGGACACTTATTCGGACCATCTTGCATGATGGCAGATATGTAATTATGGTGTTTATTTGCCGTTTCTCATGCAGTTGGGTTTAAACCCTCAGACACTTATTCGGACCCCCATGCATGATGGCAGATATGTAATTATGGTGTGTACAAGCCAGTTCTCATGCATTAGGTTTTAAACACTCGGACACTTATTCGGACCCTCTTGCATGATGGTAGAAATGTAATTATAGTGTTTACTGGACATTTCTCGAGCATCAGGATTCGAACACTTGGACACTTATTCGGACCCTCTTGCATGATGGCAGATATGCCATTATAGTGTTTACTTGCCATTTCTCGTGCATTAGGATTCAAAAACTCAGACACTTATTCAGACTCTCTTGCTTGATGGCAGATATTTATTTATGGTGTTTATTTGCCATTTCTCATGCATTAGGGTTTAAACACTATGACACTTATTCGGACCCTCTTGCATGATGGCAGATATGTAATTATGGTGTTTACTTGCCATTTCTCATGCATTAGGGTTTAAAAACTCGGACACTCATTCGGACACTCTTGCATGATGGCAGATATGTAATTATGGTGTTTACTTGTCATTTCTCGAGCATTAGGATTCGAACATTCGGACACTTATTCAGAACCTCTTGCGTGATGGCAGATATGTAATTGTGGTGTTTACTTGCCATTTCTCATGCATTAGGGTTTAAACACTCGTACACTTATTCGGACCCTCTTGCATGATGGCAAATATGCAATTATGGTGTTTCCTTGCCATTTCTCGGGCATTAGGATTCAAACACTCGGACACTTATTCGGACCCTCTTACCATGATGGCAGAGAAGTAATTAATGGTGTTTTACTTCCAATTTCTCATCATTAGGGTTAAACAAACCTCGGACACTCTTCGACACTCTTGCAATGGATGGCAGATACGTATATATCGAGGTGATTTATTGCAATGAATGCGGAATGATTGCATCGTCATTTATTCGCTAAGAGATTCATAGGCTTCATGCACACTTAGTCATATCTATTAATCCCTTGCATGATGACAGATATGTAATTATGGTGTTTACTTGCCATTTCTCATGCATTAGGGTTTAAACCCCAGGACACTTATTCGGACCCTCTGCATTTATGGTAAATATGTAATTATGGTGTTTATTTGCCATTTCTCATGCATTAGGGTTTAAACACTCGGACACTTTTTCGGACCCACTTGCATGATAGCAGATATGTTATTGTGGTGTTTACTTGCCATTTCTCGAGCATTAGGATTCGACACTCCGGACACTTATTCGGACCCTCTTGCATGATGGCTAGATATATAATTATGTGTTTAGCTTGCCATTTCCGAGCATTTAGGATTCGAACACTCGGAATACTTGTGTGGAACCTCTTGCATGATGGCAGATATATAATTATTTGGTGTTTATTTGCCATTTCTCATGCATTAGGCTTTTAAACACTCCAGGACTTTTTTCGGACCCTCTTGCATGTGGCGGATATGTAATTTATAGTGTTTACTTGCCATTTCTCAAGCATTTGGATTCCGAAAACTCGAACACTTATTCGGACCTTCTTGCATGATGGCAGATATGTAATTATGGGTGTATTTGCCATTTTTCTTGCATTATGGTTTAAACACTCGGTTGCTTATTCGGATCCTCTTGCGCATTATGTCAGATAAGTAATTATGGTGTTTACTTGCCATTTCTCATGCCATTAGGGTTTAAAACACTCTGACACTGATGTCGGGACCCTCTTGCATGATGGCAAATATGTACTTACGGTGTTTACTTGCCATTTCTCGGGCATTAGGATTCAAACATCGGACTCTTATTCGGACACTTTTGCAGATGGTAGAGAAGTAATTATGGTGTTTTACTTGCAATTTCTTCATGGCATTAGGGTTTAAAAACTCGGACACTCATTCGAATACTCTTGCATGATGGCGATACGTAATTATGGT